GGCTGGCTGCCAAACTCACCCAACATGTGATCTCTACTCAATTGTTCAAATGATTTTGTTACGCCAACCAGTGTCACGGGGGCGCTTGGCATCAGTGCCAACTCCTTCGCCCGACATCCGCTCTGGAAGCCAAAGCCAAGTCACTGTCACCCCCCCTCTCCGTCTGATGGAAAAGGGGGGGACTGACCCCCACAAGGGGACTATAGCACTGAGCCAGCAATAGAAGTATGGATGGGGGTGTGTGGGGGGGTGCTGATTAGAATATGACTCTCTTGTCCCATCGGGGGGAAAAAGACGCATTGTGACTGTCCGGTGGGCGGAAGTCTGAGCAGAGTGAATGGTACCGAGAGCGAGAATGGAGGCATTGTGTTGGGTCAGAGAGAGTGACGGGGAGAGAGAGAGAGAGAAATGTGACAGCTTGTCTCCAGGCACACGGCTCCAAGTCTGCAGAGAGAAGGCAAAGTCTCACCAAGTGCTGAGTAAGCAGAAGAATGAATGTCTGAAGGTGAGAGAACAGAGATACCTACTGGGGAGCTGGGAGCCTCTGAGATACCTACTGGGGAGCTGGGAGCCTCTGAGATACCTACTGGGGAGCTGGGAGCTTCTGGCATACCTACTGGGGAGCTGGAAACCTCTGAGATACCTACTGGGGAGCTGGAAACCTCTGAGATACCTACTGGGGAGCTGGGAGCTTCTGACATACCTACTGGGGAGCTGGGAGCTTCTGAGATACCTACTGGGGAGCTGGGAGCCTCTGAGATACCTACTGGGGAGCTGGGAGCCTCTGTGGTACCTATTGGGGAGCTGGAAGCTTCTGGGGTACCTACTGGGGAGCTGGGAGCTTCTGACATACCTACTGGGGAGCTGGAAACCTCTGAGATACCTACTGGGGAGCTGGGAGCTTCTGACATACCTACTGGGGAGCTGGGAGCTTCTGAGATACCTACTGGGGAGCTGGGAGCGTCTGAGATACCTACTGGGGAGCTGGGAGCCTCTGAGATACCTACTGGGGAGCTGGGAGCTTCTGAGATACTTACTGGGGAGCTGGGAGCTTCTGAGATACCTACTGCTCTGAGATACCTACTGGGGAGCTGGAAGCTTCTGAGATACCTAATGGGGAGCTGGGAGCTTCCGAGATACCTACTGGGGAGCTGGAAGCTTCCGAGATACCTACTGGGGAGCTGGGAGCCTCTGAGATACCCACTGGGGAGCTGGGAGCTTCTGACATACCTACTGGGGAGCTGGGAACCTCTGGGATATC